TCAACCTTAAGTCCTCGGATTAGGGATCAAGGCGAGTGTACTCATTTGTAAGGATTATCCGGTAAAAATTTGATTTTCACTCTATTAAATGGCATATTTAAAAAAAAATATACTATCCAATTATATTACTTGATTTATGCGTATTATATAAGATTTTTTATCTCAACTACCTACATATAAAAGAAATACATATTTTTAAATAAATAATAAAATTCTGAGTTACCTCTTTCTATTTGCCTTTAATACGCAGAAAAATGTATCTTTAGTAAGCATTTCTATAATGTATACAAGTAAATGTCGTTGTTGATAAATCTAAAGCACGTTTAGTTTACGTGATCATAAAGAATTAACCGAGATAGGTTATATTTAGTCTTAGAATGCTGGATATTTATCATTATAGAATAAATATAATTAATTAGTAATTTAATTATATTTCATGGAATACTTACTTTATAAATGTTTAACTATTTCTGCTGTTCTTTACTTGACAAACATCAATCAAACCATCGAAAACCCTGCTTAATATTTCAAATCAAAAACGTGTAATATACTGCACTTCGATAACTCAATTAGGAAGGTATTAAATTACAGTCTATTTGTTTGTGGATGGAGCATGGAGCTTTTAAGTTTCAATCCTAACTAAAAATATTTAGTATAACAAAAGCCTTTTTTCTTATACTAATCTTAGTTCAATCTCGTCATCATGTCTAGCGATTGATATTGATAAACTGTTAATAGTTTCTGCTAATCATTCCTCCTCTAGAAATTGCGAAACGGACCGCCATGTTGAATCGCCGAGACCGTTCGTTAGATAACCGCTACCTTGAGATTATCATTACGTTACAAGTGACGTCCACTCTTTACACCAGTTATATTTAGATTTAATTAACATTGTTTAAGTTAAATTCATAAAATACTTTAATAAACACGGACGCCACCAAGTCTGTTTCATTACATTCCATTTAATTCTTCCAACTTATACGAGTATATTAAACAAAAAGCAATTAGTGTTTATTTATTATTTGTTCCTTTACTTTGTAATAAAACACGACTGTTTACTTGTTAAGAAATAAGAATGTATTCTTTCGAAAACATATTTGTTAAAAATATAATAATGTTACAGTAAAATCAGTCTAATAACAAACTTTTCCCCCACCCTTTTTCCAGTAGTTATTGACGACATCTTACCAGCCTCTTTTGATAACTGCTTTTTATATATTTTCTTAAATTGAATATGATTTTTTGTCAGTTATTGTTTATTTACTGTTTTTACTGTGTATCTTGTGTTTTTACGTATTTCCAAAATCATATTTTTTTCCTCCCTAATTTATTTTTTTAATTTGATATTCATTACTACAGTCCAACTTCTTGCAGTCGATAATAGTAGAATTTCGTCTCACATTCTTTCTAGTCTTATTATATACGAGGGTCAAACTGAAAGTTCTTAGAAAATCAAAAACTGATTACATTAGCCAGTTATTAGTTTTATTATATCTTTTCAAAATATTGTCCATTCAGGTCAATACACCGCTGCATGCGATGGAACCACTGGGAAAAGCACTTTGCCCACTCGTCCTTAGGGGTCTCTTCAATGGCATCGCGATACGCAGCCACCGCTTCTTCGGCATTCATAAACCGCTTTCCTTTAATTTTTGGAAATAAATAAAAATCACAAGGCGCGAGGTCGGGGCTATACGGCGGGTGACCCAGTAATTCAACGTTTGATGTCGCCAAATAGTCGATCGTTCGCTTGGCGGTGTGCGACGAGGCGTTGTCGTGGTGAAGGAGGATCCTACTGCGAGGTCGTTTCTCTCGAACTTTTTCCAAGACAAGTGGCAAACAATTGGTAGTGTACCATTCTGCAGAAACTGTTTTTTGATCCTCTAACACAATTGTTGCAAAATGACCTATCCTTCCAAAGAACGAGGCCACCATTTTTTTTCCCGCACTTCGATCTCTCTTCACTTTAGTTGGCAACTCCTCGAAAGGAAACACCCACTGAGCAGATTGTCTTTTGGTTTTAGGATCATAACAGTAAATCCAGCTTTCGTCACCTGTTAGTATGTCGAACACAGCATTTGAGTCACCTCCGTTAAATCTTTCAATCATTTTACGACACCAATCCACACGATGGAGTTTTTGAGCCTCAGTCAAATTATGAGGTATCCACCGGGCGCAAAGCTTCCTGACCGCTAAATGTTCGTGGAGGATTTTGTGCACTTGACTCATACCGATGCCTAAGCTTGTCCGAATCTGTTGATAGGTCACTCTTTTGTCAGTCTCTATCATACGCCGCACAACACAGATGTTATCTTCAGTCGTCGCCGTAGAAGGCCGTCCCTCACGTAAATCATCAGTGAGATTAGTGCGACCACGTTTAAACTCATTAAACCAGTTGTAAACAGTCGCACGAGATGGGGCTTCATCGTGAAAGGGCAATCGTAGTCTATCATAACTTTCTTGTTGACTTAAATGACATCGAAAGTCATAAAAAATCATTGCACGAAAATTTTCTCGTGTTAAATTCATGATGACGTGACACAGACAATTTTCAATTTGCCGCCAAATCGTAAAACAAATGACAAATGAATGAAATATATACTCAGTAATATTGGCAAAGAGTTATATTTTCAAATTTTAGAATTATTTTTTTATTATATTGTTTATAAGTGGCTAGTTCTAAGAACTTTCAGTTTGACCCTCGTATTTACTACTTTATTTGATTAATTAATGATCATTCATTCTTTTCTTCCGAAAACATATTGGCCCATTTATGATTTAAATATTGCCAGGTTTTTGCTAACCACTTAACATACAGATCTTCTTTTGGTTAGAAGTATAGACTAAGTAAACTATGTAACATAGGGTGAACAAAGAATTAAACAATTCTGATCATCGGTTATATTATATTATATCACTAAATATTACAGTGTCTATACTGTAAGTATTGCTTATACTTTTGGTAAATAGTTTATTCCAAGCGACCAATGACCACGAAAATATTTAAAAAAACACGCACACAAAATGTAAGATAATATAACCTGTTTGATAGTCGTTTACTAAAATAAGCTTATTATGTATTTCCTTATTTATTTTAAGTTTTTCTATCATGACATTGATACGCAGGTGTACCTTTTTTGGATCAACAAATAGAACTTTATAAAACGTATAATGGTTTCATTTAATTTGAGTAATTTATTGAGGAAAATCACACGATAAACTGTCTCTAAGTCTCTAATAAATGCTACCAATAATGTTTATTTCATTTCAACATTTGTAAACGTTGATCAACTTATATTTTGATCGAGTATCAGAGTATGTATTAGTGAATCATATGTGAAAATATTTATTTAATCGCTTCAACAGCTCATCGACAACGACCAACAGATTATTCACATATTTAATCTTTATAATTTAATAAATTATGTTTGAAAAAGCTGTATGTATTTGAATCTTCACGCCTTCTATATTAATATTAAGAAGAGAATAGATTTGTTTGTTATTTGCATTAAATTGGTCCGAAACTATTGGACCTATTTTTTAAATTATATCACATACGGGAACCTGCACCACGCGCGGGCGACAAAGCATATAATTTATGCAGGCGAAGTCGGAAAACAAATGTATTTTAAGTGACTTCAAAAAAAAGGAAGTTCTCGCTCTAGTACATAAGTAAGTATACTTTTTTGTATACTTGAACTTCGTCAATTATGAGCCTTCAATGTTTGTTATTCTTACTAAAAGTGCAATAGAAATATTACGTTCATTTAAAAATTTATAAGGCCTTAATTTAGTATGATTTTTGTAAGCTCGCGTTTAATCTGAAATCCAGAAATTCTGAGTTTTCTGAATACACAGAAAACACATGAATGATTACACCGTACAGTTACTCAGCTACAAGGTACAAGTTGCGCTACGAGGTCTGTCCGTGCTACGAGACAAGTATTTATATATGTATATGTAGTACGGTGAATGTTGACGTTCGTCAATCAGTTTCGTAATAAAGTCCATAAATAAAAGCTGTTACTTTTCCATTTTAAGTATGCAAGGTTATACCAATAACATAGTTTTATAAAAAATAGTACAAAAAGTTTGTATATTAGAAATATTTATTAATTGTTTAACTGTCTATTAAAATAGACAAAAAGTGGACTAAGTGCCTAAAGGGCACTTTTTATCAGCCAACCAGTAAGTTTGGTGCAGAATTATAAATAAAAAACATTAATTATATTTTTTAACTTACTCTAGTTAATTTGTGCCCATGTTAATATGGATTTTATCATATTTTGATTCGACTACATCAAAATACCAGTTCTCTACAAAGTGTAATAATATTACAAGCGATTCAACGACGGAGTCTTTGTTTCATGCAATTTATGTATCTATTGAGGTCATCGAGAATCATCGCTTCGTCATGCAAATTTTAAGAATCTGCAGTGATCGGTAAATTACGATTCTAAAATAGACTTTATTTTAATATTATCTCATCAAAATTTGTCTCAACGTAACTTAACAATCTGCCAGTAACGTAATTTACATAATATACTTATCTCAGCTTCTTATAATATAACCAAAAATTATGTTATTAGGTCAGAAAAGACATTCGCATAGTATTCGCAAGTTGGGATTACGAAACGACGTCAGACGGCCGCAGTACGCACTTATAAATTATACAGAATTAATAATAATAACATCTATGTCATTCATTACATACATTTAGTAGAAACTGCTATTAAAAACACGCAACCGGCTATATGCATTGTATTACAGTGTAACCACTCATGATACTTCAACTGTTTCTTGATGCAATAAAATTTTGCGTTTTCGTTAATTAATTTGCATCTCTGAGTATAATTGTTGTTTGTGTATTTTCCATGTTAAAGTTGCATAACTGTTATTAATTTTTTTGAATGTGACAAATATGTAGAACATCAATCATTAGACATCAAACAATTTAATACTAATTAATATTCTAATCACGGATTGAATTAAAAACTTACGTTATAAGCATCTCGGTTGGCCTTTGGTCAGCTTCCTAGTATCATGTACGCAATTCCTCACAATAACACAGTAACAACAACACTTTGCAATCGATTTTGTGATAAATAATAATTAATAATAACACACGCGTTCACGTTTCGTAGTTTTGAAACTTTCTAAAAAATCTAGCGCGATTTATGATAGATACTTCGGGCACGGCACGTGCGTTCTGACGCGCGGTCGGTCGCTTACTAAATGAACGCCTTCGTTTTCGCTGTTGCTGTTGAGTTTTTCTTTTTTTCCGAACAAGTGTCGTGTCTATCTGGCCAGTCCGGTGTGTTGAGACAGAATGACGCAAGTAGTTTGGGCAACTCGATTCGGACCTGGGTTTTTTCATTGCTTCAATGTTCACACACGGCGCGATTTAATGATATGATACAATTAACAAAGCCATGAATGACTGTTTGGCAACTTTCAATAAACACCATCGACTGACTTAATCGATTAAACTATTACAAGTTCCTTTAATATACATATGTTTACGGATCTTTTTTATGTAATCACATTTCGTCAGCGTAGGAATTTAAGATTCAATATCCAATTAATGTACGGTGATAGGTAGATCGGAATAAAAAGTCGCGTGATAAGTCACTTAAATTGGGTAATTTACAACTGATATATTACCTGTTAAAAATAAAAATGCCAATTAGTTGTAAGCTCAAATACCGCTACCAGTTAAAATGGGTTATAGTTTCTTAAGAATTTTTTGTCAATTAATAAATAAATCAGAAGCTTCGTGGTCTTTGAGCTGTGTATTAATTACAATTTATTAACTATTTTTTATATTTCGTTTAAATAACAATAGTTTGTGAATTTACAAAAAGCTTTTAGATGAGGTGTAGAGAATTTTTAATTAATACTTTATCAACTGAAACTACCTTTGAAATGAATGCATTTACTACTTAATAATATCGATTGCATCGAAGAGTTTAAATTCTTACAAAATCCTGTAGAAAACTTATCTAACTTTTGACATCGAAAACATTCTCAAAAATTTAAATGGATCGATAGGAAAAAGAAAAACAGAACTCTAAAAAATACTTCGATGTTAAAAGCTTTTAATTTATAAAAAAAAAAAAACAAAAATTGACTCTGTTACAACTCTTCCTTAAATAAAAAATACGTATTTATATTTGGGGTGTCGGCCTAAGAGTAGCACCCCCCCATATCCTCCCGTGGGTGTCGTAGGAGCCGACGGAAGGCGGGCGGCCTCCCGGTATCGCCTACCACCACCTACTGCGATCCCCAAGTCGCCTGCCAAGCGTGGGATTATGCTTTATATACACAATCGCTTTCAGTGTCTAACTGAATGCGAGTCTGTGGACGAAATAAACAACGGGTTTGTAGAAACAGTCCAAGCTGCGGGGTCCAAGTTCTATAAGGTCCCGCGCCGTATTAAATCTCAAAAGCTCTCAGAAGAAATGCTCAAGTTGATGGTGGACCGGAGGGATATGAGACTGCAATCTTCAACCAATATGTCGGAGTATGGTCGACTTAACAGACGAATTTCCAAATCGATGCGACGAGATCTGCGCTCCTATAATACTACACGTATTAGGGAGGCAATAGAGCGGAACCAAGGCTCCAAAGTGTTTGCACGAAATTTGTCTGCTGGGTCGAGTCAGATGACGAAGCTGAAGATCGACGACGGCAGGATCGTATCTTCAAAACCGGAGATTCTGATTGAGCTTGAGAGGTTTTATGGACAGTTGTACACATCAACACAACAACCCGTTGAAAGCCATGCTCAGGACACCAGAGCAAAGCTGACCCGACATTACACCGAGGATATCCCAGACATCAGCCTGTACGAGATTAGAATGGCACTCAAACAGCTCAAGAACAACAAGACACCGGGGGATGACGGAATCACTACTGAACTTTTGCGAGCGGGTGGAAAACCGGTACTCTTAGTCCTCCAGAAATTGTCCAATTCCGTCATTCTCGAGGGTATGACGCCAAAAGCGTGGCACAGAAGCGTGGTTGTGGCTCTTCTTCAAAAAAGGTGACAAGACCTTGTTGAAGAATTATAGACCAATCTCGCTTCTGAGCCACGTTTATAAGCTGTTTTCGAGGGTCATTACGAATCGTCTCGAACGCCAGTTTGGTGACTTCCAGTCTCCCGAACAATCCGGTTTCCGAGAAGCTCAGAGTCGCTCAGCGAGGCATGGAGAGAGCTATGTTAGGGGTTTCTTTGCGCGATAGGATCCGAAACGTGGATATTCGCCAAAGAACTAGAGTGACCGACATAGCGCGCAAAGTTTGTAAGCTGAAGTGGCAGTGGGCAGGCCACATCGCTCGACGAACCGATAACCGATGGGGACGAAAGGTTCTCGAGTGGAGACCACGAACCGGAAGACGCAGCGTGGGTCGACCCCCGACTAGATGGACGGACGAGTCGCGGGCGGCCGCTAAATGCAGCTGGCGCAATGTCGTCCGTCGTGGCGTTCAAAGGAGGAGACCTATGTTCAGCAGTAGACGTCTTCCGGCTGATGATGATGATGATGATGTATTTATATTTTATATACTACCGTTAGTGTGCGAATTTGAATCGCTCTTAGTCGGATTTTTTCTTGACCATCTCCTTAAGAATATAGAATATTACATTATTATATAATATATAAATGACTATAATAAATATAATTATCATCTAAATCTGCGTAGGTATATAATGGGAGTTCTAGAAAATCGAACGAGTCCGATGTAAATCACTTCTCTAATTCTTCATAGCGATGAAGTCGCTTTTCCATGACAATATATAAGTCGTGAAACAATAACAACGGCAGATAGTTTTGCCATTTTATTAGCAAAAATTTGATTGTCTATACATAATTGTGACGTCTAATTGTGGATTTAATTCGCGGTGCGGTCAACGTAGTAAATGCTGTAAAGTAACATGTCTTACTGATCTTTGTATAAATATAAGATTAAATTGCCTTATGTTTTTCGATTTTCGTCACAAGTGTTATACCGCCTGTGAGTGTTCCCCGCATTCAATAATAATCATGCTATTATAAGCGATACTAATATGTTATAGGTATAACTTGTGAGAAGAGTCCCTAGATGAGACCAATAAAAATGCGCCTTTGTTACTAAACTGTTACAAAGGCGCATTTTATGTATTGTATATCAATATAATTGCTAATATTACAAGAGCTAAAGACTTTTAAGGCATCATAAAATATACATTTTATTTTATTTTTTAAAGATATATTTTTATATACATACAATACATAAAGCAAAGTTCAGTTTTGTTCTCTGCCGAGTTTTGTCATGACTCTAGTTCATGCTTAGTAAAAACTTGTTAATATATTATCAGTGAGTAATTCTATTCATATTAAAGACACAAAACGTTACATAAGAAGACATAAATATGTACGTTTAAAACTACAAAATGGATTCCACAAACTATTATATTAAATTGGTATAAGGAAAAACATAGAGGCTACGGTTCCCTAGGGACGGGGGCGAAGGCGCTGGCTGGATGCATATCACTAAGACAACTGTTGACAACTGACTAACAAATAAGACATAAAAGGGATGAACTGTTTATTATTAAGTAACTACCAACTATTATTAATTGTTTTATTATTTAGTTACTGAGAATAAATACTTCGAAATCCCAAATAAAAAAGGGAAATTTCTTTTTTCATGTTTCCCATGTAAAGAAGGGTTTTTTTTCAGATTTAAAAAAATATATACGCGGTTTCAACCGCCATTATTTTAAGGGAAAAAACCTGATAAACACTGAACGCGCGGGAGCGCCAAGGACAGGAAATGTTTCCACTCCAACTATAACATTGATGTTGCAGACAGCCTTATGCCATACCATGGGCCTTTTTATTTTTGACTCTTTTTACTTTGTTTGCTATCTGTCTCCTGTCCTTTCTGTTTGTATGTATTTTCAACTAGTAATTGCTTTATGTACTAGACGTACACATTACACAATCAGTATCATACAGACATTTTGCTGGCACAATTTTTCCAAAATTATAATTACCACTAAAATAATATCTAATGATACAGACAGAACTGCAGATCCCCAAAACAGAACAGAATCAGAACCTCCTTTCGTAATTGTGAAAAATGTCAGAAGAAATCAGGAAAGTCGGAAATGTCAGAATTAATGTGACTTCAGTAGTTATTAGTGTACGTATCATTAGATAGTGTTTGCTTTAAACTGTTGGAATCATAGAGTATGTAAATAATATCTGCTGTTTTAATAGAGTTTTCCTTTCAATTTTTATAGAACATTACATATTTTATATCTCCTAAAATGTTTACTTCCAGATTAAAAAATAATAAGTCGGTCCAGCTGTACCTACTCTAGTGGTAAGCTATTGAAGAACGATAATTTTCACATTTCACAACACAGGACGATTCACATGATGCGTTAGGTGTATTCTGTGACCTATCTAAGGCATTTGATTGTGTTTTTCATGGAACATTGATTAGGAAACTGCATTTTTATGGATTTAGAGATAATTCATTGGATTTTACTGTCTCATACTTGACTGATAGACTACAGAGGGTTGATATCAATGGCAAAAGATCCCCTGGATCGAAAGTAAAGATAGGTGTTCCGCAGGGCTCAATACTTGGTCCTTTCTTGTTTTTGATTTACATAAATGACTTGCCTTATTTCGTAAGGGATGATTACGAAATAGTTTTGTTTGCGGATGACACTTCACTTTTGTTTAAAATTAAAAGAGGGTTACCTCTAAATGACGATGTGAACAATTCTATCGCTAAAGTAGTACATTGGTTTAATGTAAATAATCTTCTCCCTAATGAAGGAAAAAGAAAAAGTAAACATAAATGTTAATATAAAAGATAAGAATGTGGGCCTTGTGGATACCACAGTATTTTTTAGGAATAACATTAGATTCTAAACTACAGTGGGGCCCACATATTGATAGATTGTCGAGTAGACTTAGCTCTGCAGCATATGCTGTAATGAAAATACGTTGGTTAACTGACATAGATACTGCCAGATTAGTATACTTCAGTTACTTTCATATTGTCATGTGTAATGTCGTACGGAATCCTATCGTGGGGAAATGCTACCGACATACAAACAATTTTTGTGCTTCAGAAAAAAGCAATTCGATCAATTTATAATCTTAGGATTAGGGACTCTTTAAGGGAGAAATTTTAGGAAATAGACATTATGAC